TTGTTTGCTGTTGCATTATATTTCATTGTGTGACTGTAACATAGTTTATTTAATTGTCTCTGGTGGCATAGAGGGAGCTTTGGTGGTGTAGTGCCTAAGGCATTTGACTGCTAACCAGAAGGCTGGCGGTTCAAACCCACCAGCCATTCCTCGGAAGGAAGACTGAGAAATCTACCCCTATAAAGATTTATTGCCTTGGAAACCAAAGGGGGTCGCTATAAGTTGGAATCAACTTGATGGCAATGAGTGTGGTTTTTTGGTCGGTGGCATTGTCATTACAGCATTCAGCTGCTAATCAAAAGGTTAGGGGTTCAAACCCACTAGGCGCTTTGCGGGAGAAAGCTGAGGCAGTCTGCTTCCATAAAGATTTGTAGCCCTGGCAACCCTATGAGCAGATCTGCTTTGTCCTAAAGGGTCACCAGGAGTTGGAATCGACCCAATGGCAGTGGGTTTGGTTTGGTATGCTTGGACACTTAGGTTGCTTCCCATCTTTTTTTGTTTTATTTGTTTTGCTTTTTTGAACTATAATTCATATACCGTAATATCCACTCTTAAAAAATGTACAATTCAGTGGTTTTAGTATGTTTCCAAGCTTTAAAAGTATCTATTTCAGTGGTTTTTAGTCTTTTCCAAGTTTTTGTTCTACATATAGTGATGCAGTGAGTAACCTTGTGCGTATATACCTTTGAACATGGTACAAGTTTATCAGAAATAGGATTGCTGGGTCAGAGGCTAAATACATTTGAATTTTGATGGGAATTGCCAGTTACTCTCACGGGGATTGTAGTGTTTTGCACTCCTGACAGCAAAGTATGAGAGGGCCTGTTTTCCCCCTCAGTTTTGCCTTTTTATAAAGTAAACTTAGTTGCTCTATAAAAGCAATTTGAAGTTTTCAAATACTGATTTTTTATAGCCAATTTAATTGAATATTGATCCTTGATTGGCTTCACCATGGTAAATATGACCAAAACTTAATAAATATTATTTGTAATTGATCTCTTCCCTTAATAGGTAAATTGCAAGTAGTGAATATTGATGTACGGACCAAGTTTCAGCTTTTTGGTCTTAAGTTAGGTACTTTCTCAACCCCTGTTCTCGCCTGTGGATATAATGATGATCACAATATTAAAATTAAAATTTTTCCATAGAGATTGATCATTTATATTTGCTTGCTCTGAGCTCTGGTAGCATAGTGGCTAAAGCACTTGACTGCTAACCAGAAGGCTGGTGGTTCAAACCCACCAGCCACTCCTCGGAAGGA